TTGTTGTTGTTGTTGTTGTTGTTATCACTGTTGTTGTTGATACTGTTATTGTAGTTGGTTTTGTTATCATTGTTACTGGACTTGACGTGAAATTGTATATCATATATTTCCTGTTTGCTAAGTTGAGAAGAAGGACACGAGATTTAAAGAACACATTTAGATTTATTTTGTTTTGGTTTGGTTGTGCAATCGTTTCGTTAGGGTTGATCATTTTCTAGCGGAACAGGTACCAGTGTTGGCTGATTTTTAGGTCGCATTTCTACTCATAACTCAAAAAACTATTTGTTTTTCACTAGAAGGTAGCTACCTAGGAATTCAAAATTAATCATCAGTTGAGTCTCAGAATCTAGTTGCTTTTTTTTCTTTTTTTAAGACATAAGTCCTCAATCTCTTTTACTATAGGTGAAGTCGAGAATTCCTTGTTATTGGCATCATTGCAAAAAGGTGGGGTTTGGTCTGCGGAGGTGGTGATTTTGACTCGAACGACCAGTTCGTGTCTTACCGTTCAAGTTTGAAGCAGATTATATTATTTCTTATTAGTTTTTTGAAAGCAAGTAATAGTTTATATACACCCACTTTGGGTTACTAAAAGTGATTAATTTCTTGGCCACAAAAGTGTTAGGTTGTAACTGTCGTTTAGTCATGCCAGGGAAATGCATCAGTTGGAAATTAAACAGTTCTTGTCACGTCAAAAAGTAACACCTTATATAATAGCTAAGTCATCTTAGGCGAACCATGTTGAGTGTAGCACCAGCTTACGCGACGACGGTTTATGATGCTGCCGGCAATACTTACCAAATGTATCCAAATCGAGCAATATATCCAACTGCCGTGCCTATCACTTCCCCGGATATGCGTAGTTTTGAAACTATACCACATCGTATTTTTGTAGGAGGATTTCCAGCCGCGGTATGAGATTATTAGAAAGCTTTCAGTTCCTGCCTTTCAATTAGCAATGAACAGAAATTATCACTGTTAAAAGTTCAGTTGGGTACTATGAACCTTTTCCGAAATGAAGTATTTGTAAATTTCTTTTTTTTGCTAAGCATTTTGTTTCATTTGATTTTACTTCCTCTTGCCAGCACTGCAAGATCTAGAAAACATTAAATTTTGCAGACTACAGAACTGGAGTTACGAACATTTTTTGAACAGTTTGGCCATGTAAGGGAGGCTAAAGTAATAAGAAGTAATGAGGGCGCTTCAAAAGGCTATGGATTTATAACTTTTGACACAGAAGAGGAAGCAAAGGCCATTATGCAGTCGGCAAACGTAAGATTATATTCTTTATCCATATTTCCGCTGTATCTTTCTCACTGAGTTGCAAAGCGTTGCGATATGTCAGCAAATTATTGTTGGAGATGGTAATGTTCATTGCGCTGCAAAGTAACTGACTAGGCGTCTTGAAGCCAGTTAAATTAAACTGACTTTACTTGCTACAATTAGGACACTGAAGGGACCAAACTAGAATTCAAGGGAAGACGTCTTAATCTTGGCCCTGCTGTACGCCGTCTGGTTCATCCAAGAATTTCTCAAGGTGACATTTTACAGTCTTCATTTTATTTTTTCTGCTTGATATGCACGCATCTTTTTTTTTTTT